GGTTTAAATGCTCAAACAAAAAAAAAAGACATCTTCCATTAATTGGAGTTCAACTGAAAGGTATATCAATGGTCAAACTGCAGAAATCAGATACTCACAAACTTTGGAAGTATCGTTGCACCAACAGATCGACAAAGTCTTCTCAAGTCAAACTTTGAAGTTAACCTGGAACAAAGCAATTAAAAAATGACGTTAAACTGATTTCTAGCCATCTAAAGTTTGTCACACAGGCATCTTGGACGAGGAAATTTCAATTCAACACGAGTTTTAGAAACTCAAGTCAGTATGACTATATTGTTTAAGGAGGGGGGGCATTGGGGTCTATTAGAAACCGCAAAAAAATTCGATCAAAACCGAAAACCGCATGCAAAACCGTCTAAACCGATAAATTTATGCATCTCAGTTGTCAAAATCCTAATCGACCTGCTACTGCTTTTTTTTTTACAAGTGGAGCGCAACATAGGTTTCGCTGCTATTCGAGATCAGCAGAGGCATATAGCTGCTGCTCAGATCAAAGAGAAACCGGAACCCCAATATGAAAAACCGAAAAAGCACATCAGATACCAAATCTAAGTGCCCGTCAAAATTTTTTCCGCAACATTAATGAACAACAAAACTGAAAAACCGAAGTTTTCTGGCGCAAAAACCGAAAAACCAATCTAAAAATTAGCCAAAACCGCAAAACCACAAACCCCAATGTCCCCTCTTTAAGAAATGACCCTACGAAATTGTTCCTACTTACGAACATTTTGTTTTATATTACAAAAATAATTATTAAAATAACAATTATACATATCTATACAGCCTCTATAAGTCCTTAAAAACGACTGATAAACAAAATGATAGAATACCTATTAACAAACAATAAAATATCATGGAAAAGGTAAACTCACCTAACTACTAGAATGTTGAACTTGTTACAAAAGTGAAGGGCCATCTCAGCCACTTTTCCTCCAGATACAATGCAGTTAACACCGGTATCAACAATGGACTTGAGTTGCTGAAATCAAAGAAACAATTTTATAAGATAAAGTGAGGAACACTGCAGACTGCTAAACACTAAATTGCTAATATTTTTGTTGTATGAAATCCCTTAAATAGCATCAGGTTTGAAGTAGAGGTCCTAAAGTGTTAGCTGAAGAGTTCACTAATTGTCTTTCCTAATGGGAAACTAACTTCTTTACAGGTTTGACTAGAGATGTTTATAACAAATTCAAGAGAGCTAGCTGACCTTCTCTAGTTGTTCTTCCTCTCCTTTGCTGAAGCTCTTCAGTTCCTCTGCATTTCTGATGAGAACTGTACCCTGAAACACATAATACAACTAATTGCGTACGACTAAATAAATTATAATGTACTGTAACATCATTAAAATTAAAAAAAGAGCTTATTTTCACAAAAATTATAATACATGCTGATGCCAGGCCATATCATGCTTGGGAATATAGTGAAAACAAAGTAAAACACGGACCATTGGGTTTATATTAAGTTTTTTTGCCTCTGTCTTTATCCACTGAAGTTTACATTTTCATCAATCAACTCTTTTCCTCATCCCAGACTATAACTTACATGCAAGTCAGATCACTAAGCACACTCAACTTACCTTTGTTTCTGTTGTCATAGCATCCAATGGACAAGAAAAGGCTACAATTTTAGCATTCTGAAGTGCATTAATATCGCCCTCAACCTCACGTTTGAACACCATTCCTTGAACAATTTCTGAATTATGGAGACCTGAACCCTATAGGAGACAAAATGTGACAAGTATATGGTTTGTTGAGTACTGAAGCTTTTGGGAACCTGATTATATTTGTAAAGCTTGTAAAATACAATTAAAATAATTTATACGGAGGCAAGTTAATTTTACGGTTTGCATCAAACAGTTTTCTATCTATTATAGGGGAACAAGTTACTTCAAAAAAAGAAAAAAACATTGCAAGTGTCTAACTTGACAGGATCATAGAACATCCACAAGACAAAAAAAACTCACCAAAATTTTTGCAACTCTAATATTATCCACATTAAAAGGAGCTTTCTCTGGTAATACAGAGACTGGAAGAAAAAAAAAGATAATCAGAAATAAACAATTAAGCTCAAGATACACACATGTTAGTGAGTTTAGCACTGGTCATGGCTTTAACAAGTACGTGAAATTTATGTGTTGAGCTGCAAGAGTTAAATACCAAGATACTGATTAACATTCACTCACCACAGGCATCTGTGATAATTTTTGCCAAGAAGTCCTCATTCCCATACTGAGGAAAGAGAGAGATGGCAAGAGTCAAGAATATCCAGCAACATTTAATAAATAAAAAAGCATCCATTAATCCCAGCATTTCTATAACTTTTTTTAATAGAATGATGACTGCAAGTGATCTATTGGGGCAGCTGCACCCAGAACACGAGAGCCCAAACAGAAAGCAGTAAGAGGTCTTACAGGCGGCCACACACTGCTCATAATCAGCTTTGTTTGAGTGGTTTGAAGTGTCCCCAATCTAGACCCCAGCAAGCAGGGTAGTTTTGGTAATTTTTTTTTTTTTTAACCACCAAATACCTGTTTACTTCCCACAGCAGTTTTAAGAGCTTTGGCAACTTCTTCTTTATCCCTCACATCAGATAAACCTGAGCAGCTCAGTTCTAGAGAATACAATTCATCACAAACCTTCTGTTAGTTTATTCACAAATATATATCTTGTACCAGTTAGAGTCTTAACATAAAATTATTTGTAAGGAATTTTTCAAACCAATTACATCTTTATTTTTCTAGTTTTCAGTTTAAAATCAGGAACAAGAGGCAGGGAAATGATAAAAAAAAAAAGATAAAACTGATTCAAAAACAAGTAAATCAAAACAGTTGAACCATAACCTAACTAAGTACTACTATGGTGCAAGAAAATGGAAAAAAAGGTCTTGTTAATTTGTTCAAAAATTAGATAACAGTACACAGTGAGTGGATCAATTTTTCATAGTTACATGAACATGGTAAGAAGAGAGGATGGAGCTTACAAAGTCATATATTGTGTATTGACTCTTTCTTCACTTTTTGCAAGAGTTTTGACAAAAGCTTTTGCCTGTTTGGCAAAGCTCTTATGCTAACTTCAAAAGTCAATGAAGCTTTCCCCATTAGGAAATGTATTCTACCCTGAAAAGCACATTTTGACACTTTGAATCCTAAGAGTGATAAGCATTTCATTTCTCCTTACAATAGCACCCCTGACTCACACATTAAGGTCAGGAGAATAAAGGAAATGATCACCAACAAAAGAGGCTTTTGACTGTCAAGCAAATTCCCCTCCTTGGACCACACTAGAAAGGCTAGCCAAAGACAAGAGAAGACAAGACAAGACAAGACAAGACAGGGTGGAGAGGGGAAATTGTTGAGGGCCTTTGCTCCAGGAAGAAAGAACTAAGGGCATAACTAATAACTCTAAAATTATTAATACCTGGTAATATCTCCAAAGCCTTCTTACAAGCCTTTTCATAGCCTTCAATCACCTCAGGAGGAGAGAGACCCTGCAGGGACCAGAACAAATTTGAATCATGTGATACTCAATTTTAACGATCAAATTTGGCAATTTTCAGAATATTGAAGTACATCAAAATACAGTGATAAAGGATGTACTGCTAAATTAGCTGTTGCAAAAGTACTGTAGGACTTGCTGTTGTCCGCAAAAATTAGTGACCCCTAAGGGTTTGAATGTCTACTTCTCAAAACATTAAGTGACTTAATGAGCGAATTTAGCGAATGAAAGTGTCCCTTAAGCAGATACAGATTTTCCAACCTTCGTGTCCCACAAGTAACTATTTAACCTCACAAATTTATTAAAATCATTACCATTCTCAGGAGCTCTTCTGCAGCATCAAGCAGAGCACCAGCAAAAACTAAAACAAAGTTTGTTCCATCTCCAACCTACACATACAGACATGGAACAAAAACAGAAATAACCAGTTTTTGTAGTAATTTGGCCAAAATCACAGACAATCTGGAAGTTATGTTACAATGCACCCCCCCCCTCTTTATTATCATAAAACAACAAGCTTGTTGCCAAATAACTAGAGATTTGAGAGGCAGTCCATAAACTACTGCATCTTTTACAAGCCTACTGTAAATATACCCACAAAGGCAGTGAGTGACCTAGGGCTGTACTGTATGTCCATGAGCATATACCTAGAGAACCATTTTCATGTACATCACAGCAATGACAGCAGTAAAGTAAAACAACTGCACTTCAAGCCCTTGGCAAAAAAGGACTCTTGTTAAAATTTATTAAATTTTAGCACTCCATGGTTTTCTATTTGAAAACTGTGCAAAAAAAAAAAATTGCTAAAAAATTATTTTTACCTCCTGCTCTTGCATCTGTGAAGCTAGAACTAACATCTTTGCTGCTGGATGTTGAACCTGGAGCATAATAAAACCGATAAAAAATGTAGGACTGCACTCATTACAGGGGTGATATCAGGACTGCATTTAAATGTTCTTTGTGTTTGCCAACCCAGAATGTGTATCAAAACATAAACTGAAGTGTTTGATATCAACAGACCTTCTTGATGTGAGTTTTCACTTTGTTCTCAAGATCAGAAGTGAAACTAGACAATAAAAACTTGACTCAATTAACCATTCATTCTAAACAAATATAAAATCTAGTTCACAAGGTGGCCACTTCACCAGAAATTTTTGGTCCCCAGTCAAAAAATATTAGTCCCAGTGGTGCCCATATCCACTGGAATCTTGAGCCATGGTCTGTAGATAGCAATTCATCCATTTCACCGAGACGTTCTTTTAATAGAGACGAGCATTTTCGCTACAGAATGACAAGAACATGTAACAATAACAACGTGGTACGAATGGCTTGCACCGGGCCCCTATCGGGCAAATCATATGTAGAGTCCAGGTCCCTATCTTGTTATAGTGTTCCGCTCTTGTCCGGAACCTGATGGTTGACATTTTCAATGTTTCCATGTTCACTTAAAATGTTTGTTTGTTTGTTTGTTTGTTCAATAAGGCCCTGATCCAGAAGTGCTAACCCAAAATCTTTAATTTTGATCACTCTTTCATACATTACCTCCAGTTCTTTTATTATTGTAGCAGCATCATTTGTGACAAATAGTTTTTCCAAATGATTCACAACCATTTTATTCATACCTTGGAAGAAAATCATGAAAAGATTTCTATTAGTAATCAACCTAAAAACTGAGAGAACATAATGAGATAACCTGTAGCGCATGGGACCCACATTACCAGAAAGATAGAGCCGCTCTAGAAAGGGTACAGCGGAAAGCAGCCCGCTTTGTCACTGGACAACAACAGAACAAACATGACGGAAATGCTGCAAGACCTACAGTGGGACGCACTTGAAACAATGAGAAGACATGGAAGGCTCTCCACTATGTACAAGATGTGCCACGGCCTCCTAGATGGGGATTGGGGGGATTATTTGATAACAAACAAAGAAAGGAGAACCCGAGGAAGCCATGATTTTAAATTTATTGTACCGAAAGGACAAAGATATTTTTAGATCTTCTTTTTTCCCCAGGACAATAACTGAATGGAACAAACTGCCAAAAGAAACTGTATCCAGCCAATCCCTCCGTATTTTTAAAAGCAAACTAACTTAAATTTATTTATCGGTAGTTTTAAATAGTTTTTAATAATTTTCAATAGTTTTTAATTGTGTTGTATATTTAGTATAGCTTCACTTATTATTATCTTAGAGTTAGCGTGATGTCCTAAACGATTTTGCCGACATAACGATATTTAGATTAAGATTTATCATCCACCCTTTTAACCCTGAAGAATGACCAACGACTAACCTCTCCCATCAACGACTAACCTCTCCCAAACCTCTCCCACCAACGACTAACCTCTCCCATCAACGACTAACCTCTCCCATCAACGTCTAACCTCTCCTATCAATGTCACCCTGAATGATACGTGAGGGTCATTGAAATTAAGGGAATGATCACCATCTACTACTCACCTACCTTATATTTAACAATTATTCCATGAGCGCGCATTGGATATGAGATTATAGATAGCCAACGAGGCGCATAGCACCGAGTTGGCTATAATCATCTTATATCCAACAAGTGTGAGTGGAATAATTGTTTTATTAAAAAAAACGCCCCCAAAATATTAGACAAAATTAACCTTCTCTACTTTATTTTGTAAGAAGAAACTAGATGTTACAATGTACAGATATTGGATTATGGTATATTGGCTTATATACCCTAATGGCTAAGCCAATAAAAAGTCTTGAATTGCATTATTCAATGATCCAGTTTTTAATAATTAACAATTATTCCATGAGCATGCAAATTGGATATGACATGGTAAGTAGCCAACAAGCCCAAATTGAATAATTGTTTTATTAAATTTCATGAAGTCCTGAAGGTTTGGAAATTTGGAGCCTGTTTCTCAAAACCAGAACAGCTGGCACAATGCATTTCCACTTTAGGTGACTCAGAGTATTAAGCTGATATCTAGAACTGAGTGAACCAATCAGAACACTAGGAATGTAATAACTGGAGTTGAAAACTTAACAAACTAACTTAACCAAAATAATGTTTGGCATCTGAAGCAAGGTACTCATATAAGCACAAGTAGTATTATCACTGTTTCCATAATGTACTTAGTGCAAATGCTCTGAATTTTCACTGACTGCCTACTTAAAATTATAGGGCAATAGAGTATTAACTTCTGTCTCATCAATAACCATTCTAAGCTATCAAACAGATCACTCCTACCATTAGGTCCTAATGACGATCTTGTTATCTGCGTAAACTGGCGGCAAGCGGTAATGTTTCTGAAAACAGCTTCATCAAGACCTGAATAATGCTGAACATTTATTTCAAACATTTTTAGCAAGGATATAGAGATAAATATATTTTCATGCACTATTTAAGCAAACCCTCTCTCATTAACAATTCATTCAAAACAAATACAGATAATAAATTGCTACTACAACCAATCTAGCAACTTGTTGCAATAAAATTTGAACAAAACATATCTCACGTGTAACACCTATTGTAATGTGTGTGTGTGTGTTGCAAGAGTTACATTGCCGTAAGCATAAAATGCGAAAAATACCATTTTTTTTCTGGAAGTTATCATGTCCCACTTAAATCCTATAATAAATTCAGCATAAAGCCTTTCAAAGCTGTCAATTTCCCTCACAATGTAAGGATATGTTGTTTAACAGTCTCCACATGTGCATGGCACACTTAAGTGTAAATCTGCCCCCACCTACCCTCCCCTATCCAATATACAAGGATAATTATCAGAACTTGGGATTAAAGAACATAGCTGTAACTACCATAAACTTTTCTTCAGTTTACAAACTCATTTAAGCTAACCAGTTATTCTATTAACCACATTACCTGCAAGGAAAAGGATGGCCATTTAGACCTACATTTCCCTTGAACTACGTACTGTACTCTAACCAATTTGGATAACATGGAAATATGGGCAACAAACTTTATTTCTTTGGGTTTCTAGTAAAACTTTAAGATTGGGAGAGACTTTTATAGCTGGAAGCCTCGGTTTTCCGGACAGAAGCCTTAGTAACCCTATGATTCCTGTAAGAGGAGAGCTTTACTTGTACATCATGTACATGTCTTTCTTGCTAAGAAATCATTCGCGACATCAGTCTATCGGGTATATATAGAACCTCCAATTTAACTCAATGATTTGCAAAAACTAAGTCAAAGACTCGTACAAAGAAGCAAAAAATTTTATGACTCAAAAGCGTTTCAAGAAAATAGTATAATTCCTACGAAGACAAAATTTTGACAAATCCGAGGCACGTGGCTATCGGCTCAGCTATTCAGTTGGGTGAAGATTACTCATAAATTGTACATTTTAACCAAAAATACTGCAACGTAGATGTAGTAGTGAAAATCATCTTTGGTGTTAGTTATCATACTACAAGATATACCTTTGCTCCTTCCTTGAGCATGTGTTGGAACATAGTTTTCGGTACTGGGAGCGCCATGTTGTAAGTTTTTTCTTCCCCTCTTCGTGGTGCGAAAAGAATCCTGGGTACTAATAGTGCCAGGCCCTCGCTTCCAAAAAGACTATCCAGGCGACCCTTCTCCTACTCTTGGCTGGAATATCTTTCGCATTTTCCTGTAAACTTTGTATGATCGTCAGCTGAAAAAGAAAAAAAATCAGAATGAAAAACCGTGATTTTTAGGAATCTTGGCCTCACAACTTTGAAGACTTATCTGGCATCCCCTTGCTTGTTCCATCTCGTTCATTCTTTGTGTTGTTGTATAATGTTCCCACAGAGGTAAAACCCTTACAGTCGAAATTTCCCAAAAAAATGGGCGCTTTAATGCGTTAATTATTATTGAAAGTATGAATATTCTCGACTTACGGCGCTTTGCCAAGCACGCAAATGAGCAGTTTGATCGCAACTGACAACAAGAGTAAATGAGACAATTTTCATCTTTCACTTGCTTTACGTAAAGCCTCTCGTAAACAATTAAGAGCCCTGTTTTACACTCATAGATTTAACCGCAACGGTTTATAATAATTAACTGGAGGGTTACGAAATCATTCTTAATGCAGTTAACCGGTATAACTGTCTCAAGATAACCTAGTCATATGGGTGAAAATTGCCATTCTGAGCCTTTGTCAGAAAAGAAGTGGCACATTGTGAGTTTTTTTTTTCTCTTTAGGAAATTTGCTAATAAAGCGACCATGAGTACGGAAAAACAAAATTTTGTCTCCCTGGCGCGGTAGGTGAAGCCTCGACCAGACACTGCATAATCAATGAATGTTTCAAATAATTTTCTTCGACTTCGTTTATCGCGAGAAATAATGATGTAAAATTCGTAATTACAAAAATTTGCATCTACAGATATATGAAATAAAGCCTGAAGTACAGGCAACAAATTGAAAAGATTGGCATGTCATGTTGTCAATCACAATTGGAGGTTTTGATTATTTAATCAAAAATTTTGTGTCTTTCTTCGTTTCTTTGGCTAACTTGGATTAAAAGTAAGTTTTCCTTTATTTTTCTGTGGAAATTGTTTCTTTTGTCTCGGGTAAGGCGTTTTCAAACATGTAAACCAGCTTGATATTTAAGTGCTGTCAGAAAATGAGGAATGGGCGAGTGTATTGAATAATTAATTCGCGTCAATGTGAAATTTTAATTGCACAGAAAAAATAATGATGGCCCCGGCACTGCCACTTAGCTCGAAGGAAAGATATTTTTAAAAACTTCACTAAAAAAAATAAACTACCGACCTCAACAGTGAAGTTCAAAGTCTATGGATTCGCAACTCTTATCTACGATTATCAATAAAAATCCTAAAATGTTGTAAGAGTTCTTGTGAAAAAAAGAAAATGTTTATGTTCATCAAAATAAATAACTTGAACATAAAATAACACAATAGAAATGAACGAGAAAGGGTCAAATTTCCGTTTGAAAAACATTCCACGAAATCATAATTGTTTCAGTAGTGATTCAATGCTATATTTTGTGGCTAACGGGCGATGAAATAAAGTGAGAGCAGAAAAAAAGAAAAAAAAAATGAAATAAGAAAAGCACCTGCCTTTTTCGATTAGATAAACGATGCAACAGGTGGTCGCTCACAGTTCGGCTTGTAGCTCCAGTCTTTAGTCATTGAAGCAATCATCCGGAATAAAATAAGCCTTCACTCCATTGTTTCAAAATGCGGTTGCTTTAGCAAATATTTTTGGATCTTCTTGATTAGGTGGCTCCAGGATCTCTGAGCTGGTATCATGCAAAAAGACAAGGGTGATTTATTTTCCCTAGTTTTTACTAGATGAGCAAGAGGTTGAAATAACAAGCTGATTTTTGGTACGAGTATAGATAAATTAAGATCTTTGAAATCAGAGAGCAGAGAGTCGGCGGTTTTATTGAGTTGTTGGTATTGAACAAAAAGCTTGCATGAAATTACGTGACGTGTAACTTCCCCTTTTCTCGTTGCGCGACTCTTCATCCGGGAGACCTTGTTACCCATTGAAATAAACAAAAGAAGCCAACCTGATGCGTGTCAGGTGGTCACACAAGCCCCACCCCTTGTCACGACATGCAATGTAAATAGGGCTAATCTGCGCTATACATTAGGAAACACTTTGCATGTTAGAAGGGGACGTGGAAGTTGGTTATAAAGGGAACTGATCTCATTGTTTTTGGGTGGGAACTGAGCTTTCAAGATGCCTCACTCGAAAGCGCAAAAACAGAAAGTTCGAGTTAGCATGAGCGAAGACACTTGTTCCGACCACGAGGATGGGGAAAGAGAACATTTGATCGCGTGTTGTCTGCCGAAAGGATGTCCTTTAAAAAGTTCAGTCGAATTGCCGACCTCTGTTCGGGTTATTTGCAACAACGACGCTTGTCAAAAAAGCGGGTATATGCATAGTGAATGTTTTGACGACTTTGAGGAAGAAATTCTTGCGTATTTACGAGGAACAGGTCGAGCGCGTAGCTGGTCGGAAAAGCAGAGACGGCAAAACATATGGACGAAGAAAGGCTACGACTTGGCTTACAAGTGCTGCGCTTGCCAATGCGGAAAAGGGCATTTGAGAAAGGACCTTGAATTTGAGCCTCCGAAGACCCAAGAAGTAGGAGAACTCCAATTACAACACCAAACAAAAGGCAAAAGGAAGAAAAAGAAGAATAATGAGAAACCTTCGGTGAACGTCGTTTCGTCGAGTCGTCCTCGTAGAAGCTCTCAGTCGTCGAACTGTAGCCAGTTATCGGAGTCGCCACCGGAGCGATCACCGATTTCGCCGCAGCCGAAAACTCCAACCAAGAAAACAAGAGCGAATTCGCATGAAAATACTTACCACTTTTTCGGCGAGGCGTTTAATCATGGCGGCAATCATTCGAACACACTTTCTTCGCACGCGAACGTACTGAGTACCTTTTTGAAAAGAGCAGATTTCAGCTCGTTTCAAGGCGTTCTACCAAGGCACAAAGTCAACCCTTATCATATTAAAATGGAAGACGAGATGAACGACGAAGCGCGTCATTTTGTCCTATCGAATTTGTCGTCTCGCATGACTTGCACTGCGAGCTGCGTGCTCTGTTGTCGGGAGCTACCAGTTTTCGACAGATATCCACTTATCGACGGAACATTTTTCCTGACACCGAGACAACTCAACTCGAGCTGCGTGGACGTGTCACAAAACGGTAAAGCGCAGTACCTCTCTGCGGTGTGTCTGCATTGTTTGGAAGGCATTCCCAATCGTGTCAAGTGTAGACTTTGTAATACGGAGTGGGACGGATCCTCTCATCAGCTGGGTACCATGTACTGTTATGACATATTTGCTGCATCTCCATGTTGTCAGCAGAGAGTTGCCTGTCATTCTTGTGGAAAACCTGTGTTAGATTTAAGCGAGGGCAAGAAATTTTTCTGGGAGTACTCACAGGCAATGAAGTGCCCCCATTGTGGAGTGTCAGGCTTTCATTGTATAAAACCGATTTCGTATTACGAGCCTCCGGATGCAATACGGTAGTAAAAAATGTGTACAATTATTGCGATTAAGCACCGTTTTTCGAACAAACCGGAATATTTGATGTTGTGAGTGGTCATGGATTAGGTGTGGCTATGGTCTTCAATAATAAAAAAGCAGCACCCATCCTTAAATTAGAAAAGAAACAAACAATGTGAGTTTGATGATTAATTCTCAAACTCAAAAAAATGGCACTTGACACCAGTTTATTGCAGAAGATCCATGGAATACCATTCCTGCTTTGTTTCATTGATGCTGTATTCTGAGGAATGAGGAAATACTTGTCCATCATTACTGCTCATAAATGCTTTCTGCATTTTTAAAATGTTTTCACAAAGCACAATGCAGACTTAAGTCAACCATGCCTTCCAACGAGCAGGCAGAACCTTCTTGTATCTCCCTTCCCCTGGGTGAAATGTGTCAAATGTCAGGAAGCTGGCAGTTTATTCTTCAAGCTATCACTTCTGATTATGCTTTAAGCTGTCAACTAATGTAAGCAAAGCTGCTTTCTTATAAGTGAATCAGAGGACTTCAATTAGAGTCTTAGCAAAAAATTACTGCAATGTTGAAAAGGGTAGCACATGGTCAAATTTATTATAAGACATGCATTCTTACTGCAAGCCTGGAATTGGAGGCTTTATGGTTTCAAGGGTAAAAGTAAGACTCCAAGAATACTTAATGAGCATGAATGCATGTGACGAATGTTAAAAATTGCAAAATTTCTATAGTTGGAAAGACCACCTGCTAGGTGGAAGGTAAGCTCATGTAACGACTTCCAACTTCAGTTCAGAGAGACATGAGTACATGGTTGTAAGTACAGGTGTATGCTAAAAGCACTGTCCAATCTGTGTTTGTCTACAGTGATTTGTTCACATAAGCACCACCACTTCAATTATATTGTTTCTGGGCTTTTTTTTTTGTTTTTGCTCACCAATCTCAGTTGCTCTTTTGTGAGAGGGAAGTTCCAAAAGGATCAGCTGGTAATTCATGACTATCAGAAATCACCCAATCTGGCAGACAAAGGAAAAAGAAAAGTGGTGTCAAGTTCCAAAAATCTTGAACATTTACTTGAAAAATCCTCATGTAATTTGTAAAGCCAATCATTACATTTAAATTTCAGAGTGACTTGATGTAAGAGACTTAAAATTGAACTTTTTTTATGTCTAAAAATAATTTTTTAAAAGATTAAGGTAATATTAATGGTTTGGTCCCTAAGTTAGCTTTAGTTTTCCACTTAAAGGCTTTATGGATCCCTGCCAATAACAGTTCATCAAGAATAGATTGACTTAGATCTGAGATTTCATTTTTCCAGTTTCATTACTGCTCTCTGGTGGGCCTTTTTGATAATTAAGTGAAGTAATGTGAGCTCAATTAATGTCTGTTTCTTCATCTCAATGGGACTTAATAAAACAACCAAATGAAAATGATGAGGCCTTTGAACTAGGTGATGAGAGATCCAAATTCCATAGCTCAGATAGCTTTTGCTACCTGTAATATTTTATTAAATATGTACCAGTACTCTGTCATTTTTTACTGTTGAAGGATTTTGGAAGAGCACCACAAGCCACTCACTTTTCAGTCCCATTGTGCTTAGACATCCATTGTCAGTTAAAGATTGCAAAATTGAAATAATATGCAAGTGTATATGTGTATTTGTTATAAATTATTGTAAAGATCATTCAAAAATATTCATGCATGAATTAAAAAACATACCGCACATTGACACTGATTTTGAGTGTTAAGGCTGAGTATTAATTAATCAACCAATCACTGTGAAAACAGTACAAATTGGACTCTATATGAACCCTTTAAAAACTGTAATATCAGTATGCAAGCTCTCCATACACTGAATTGAAATATGGTGTCCAATTTGAATTGCCTTTGTTCTGGACTTACTAGCCTCTCACATGTGATAATCCTTTTGTGTTTCCACGTGAAGTTGAGGCTAGTAAGTCCAAAACAACGGTAATTCAAATTGGACGCCATATTTCGATTCAGTGAATACTGTTCTCTATATCTTTCCTATGGTACTTCAGGGTGCGACACTAACTTTTCAAGTTACTAGTCAAGTGGCCATGGCTAGTGACAGCTTAGATGTTACAAGAGTTTCAGTTTGTTTGCTAGCCAAACTGGCTGGTGGAAATCGAAAACCTGTGGCTAAAACTGAATTTCTACTAGTTTGGCTAGTTGGCTGCCATGAGTGTCAAGCCCTGATACTTGCAAGGAGAATCTGTCTAACAATCGAGAGTTTCTAGAGTTTGATCTTCCTGAGTGTGATCATTTCCTTTATTCCCATGTCCTTTATGTTTTATTCAGGGTGGACCTGTTGGGAGAAATTCTTTGCACGTTATAAATATTAAATAATTATTATTATTATTATGTTTATCACTCTTGGGGGTTAAAGGGTCAACTGTTTAACACCTAATATCTCCTTACAATACCACCCCCGAGTCACATATTAGGGTCATGAGAAAAAAGGAAATGATCTAAAACTAATGAAGTTCTTGATTGTTAAACAAATTTTCCTTGTCTGCACCTTAGGAAATGTATAGGGAACAGTACAGAGAATATGCAAACTGATGTAAAGGTGTAAATGGTTAAGCATACACTCGCTATCAAATCAAAATTAAAGCAAGTTCCAGATCATTCAATCTTCAAACATCTTCAGCAAAAGGAACCTCTAACTGAGGGCTAAATGGGATTGGAATAATATTACTGAATAATACATACTGAGAATGATGCAATACCAAGCAAGCAAATGATGAGAACAAAGAAAAAATAACAACTGGGGGATTATTAGTTGATCCAATACCAAATTCTCTAAGTAAACATTATAAGATTTATATGGCAGACAATGAGGGGAATTACTAAATAAATGAGATCTTGGGAGGAAAAGAAAGAATGCAAACCAATACTGTACTGTTAAAGAAACAAAGAAACTTGTGACCATTTATTTTACTTCAATGTTAGAGGTGAATATTACTATATAGAATATTTTACCTTACAGATTTTTACACTGATTGTTTCTTAGCCCTAGAAGCTAACTGATTTGTGGGAATTTCAGTTCACTGGAAGAGCTGCACTAAGGTTCATACTAAAGGTGTAAGAGGAATTGCAAAACCTAAGCTTCTCACTTCTTGGCTGCCTTGAATTTCTTTTTTCTTCAGTTTTCTAACCATGTACCAGAAAACCAGCTAGCTACACAGAATTGAATGGACATGGCAGCCAAAAGCATAAGTTTGGTGCTAGATGTCTAAGTAACAACAAAAACAATAAACAAGACTTGTGATACAGCAAAATGTTTGGAAGGACTAATGAATACCACAAATACCACAAATACAGTAATTATCATAATTTTTTTTAAATTCCACAAAAGTTTCAGATTCACATTAATGCAAAATGATCCTCTCACTCAATGCAATTTACAACTCCATGTAGCTGCATTTCTACATAAAACAATAAAAGCTTAAGTAACAGTTGGCAAAAATTGTACCAAATGGAGCAAACCTCACCCAATAACATGGCTGCATTAAATAAGAAATACATAACTAGTCTATACAGAATCCAGCACATTCCTCCTTCACCTGTCTGAAATGTTTTAATTACTTTGCTTGATATTATATAATTTTAGTGAACATATTAAAACAGGTTTTCCTTAGTAAGGGTTCAGTTCACTAGTGTCTTCAAACATTTTCTTCCTCTAACATGTCTTCAATTTCTTTTTCCCACTCAGCACTATCTTCGTTGTCAACAACTTCAAAATCCTGCAAATACCAACAAACAAACAAAACAAAAACAAAAAAAGATACTTTAGGAAACATCAGAAAAAAGAGATAAGTTGTAAAAGCCACAGGTAGTGTTAATCGATGTTTGTCATATAATTTCTTGACAGGATAAAACAGTCAGTGGCATGCATCCTACTTTTTGAGTGCCTCACTTCCAGAGTTCCATGTGGTGTGCTAATATCAACCTCATCTTTTCACCTATTGTTTTTTTTACTTGGGCGACTGACTTTGCAAAAAAGGAGAGACTGCTGACAGTAACTGAGAATCACAAAAGCACAAACTGGAAAGTAGTTTTTAAGCAGTATGATTACCCACTTAAACATATATGAACTCTTCCAAATGAATTAACATGGAAAGATTAAATCAAACACTGCTGACTTACAATCTCAAACTACAGTGTATTTATTGACATAAACTACTTGTTTCACCAACGAAATGTTTTCACCTGTAGCTCTGCTTGAAGCTCCTTTTCCCATTCTGGAATGTCATCTTGAGTTTCTGAGAAAAACATGACTGAAATAAACTTCTCATTCTTGACCAAATTTACATTACTTTGTACCACCATGTGCACCCTATGAATGGAAAAAAATAAAGTGGGCAACTTACCAGATGTTGCTGGTTTTGTTCCTTCTGTTGGCTTTGACTGATTGTTTGGATCTCCTTCAGGTTTCTTTTCCATTCCAATTTGCCGCAAGTCATCATGACTGAGTTCTACATTTAGAAAATGCCAATTCTTATAACATGTACTAGGCCAATTAAAATAACTATCAATTAGATAGAGATTTTAAAAAGAGAGACTAGAGACAAGAGGGAATCTTTAATCAGTGACATTTGAAGAGAAACATTAGAATTCAATAAAGCACCTTGTTCTGTTTGTGCAAAAGAGTCACTGATGAATTCATTTTGTACAGAGTGCTCATCTGGAATTGGCTCAGAGAAGTCTTCTTCTGGGGTATTCTGTTGAAAAAAGACCTGCATCACTCATAAAAGAGGTACTTAAAAAGTAACTTAGATTTTTCAAAAAAGAATAAACAAAAGTAAACAATCAAAGGAAAAAATGTGGAATACTGGACTTACAGGTGTTTCTACATTCTTTCTGGGTACATTGACAGCACCACTTTGACTTGTTTCTGTAAATTTTATCAGACCAATAACCATTTAAAAGGAAATTAATGATTACAAGATTAACCTAAATCTGCAGGAAACCGCTTTACCAACCTGAAGATGAAAGCAATCTACAAGCTAAGCTTGCATAAGTGTATACTGTTTTCTGACATATATATTACAATTACTTGAACAAAGCTTGTAAAATTGATTGAAACTCAAGGGTGCCAAAAGAGGCCCAAGTTTACAATACAGTTTAGTTCAGATCCAGTTACAAATTACCATGAAAACTCTCTACTCATATTACCACTATGACTCCTTCAGCAAATGCAGATACACACCTTAGAATTCAAAAAACCGTTATCAAAACTAACCAGCATCAGACTTTGTTTCTGATGTTGCACCTTGTCTGTCACTGCCATTAGAACCCCCACCACCTGCCACATTGACAAGAAAAACACCACTGAAAAATTAGATGAATGACATCATCGTTAATAGAACTTTTACTATAGTCCTAAAGATGAACAAATAGATTTAGGATCTTACAATTATAATCGAACTTCAACTGTACACTCTAGTTAGCCTTAATTTGTAACTTCACCTGTAGCTGCCAATGATGTAAGCTGTGTTGACTGCTTTATGAGTGAAACTCTGTAGAAGTAATTTCTCCAAAATCTCTCCTCTGAAATTCTGTATATATATAAAAAAGAAATCAAATAGAGGATCCCAAGTGTTCTCTTTTATGAATCTACTATAAATCAGGCTACCTGGAAGTCACACATTCCCTTTAAAAGGTCTAAAAGATTCCTTATTTTTCTGGACGAAACTTTCAAAATTATGGGGTTGCTTATGAAAAAAATGAACAATGAAGTTGTAAAATGAGACAACAAAACAGTATAGTCATATCAGGGTGGTGATTACATTTACAAGACAAAGGTAGTGAAGGGTAACATATACTCACTTTTTAGGCACAAGTTGGAATCTCATTTTACTAAGATTTTTGTCCTCTTGTAAAGTTGCCAAAGCAACAGGATACATTGAGTCACTTTCAAAGTGGAATGGAACACCAGATGGAGGATCTCGTAAGAAGTTTCTTTCATCCTTGAAAGCAAAGATGGTAAATCAA